TCCACAACTTCAGAAGAAAGTAACACAAAACCAATAAAACTAAGCGATCTTGATTTCAAGTCACCAGGCGCAATACCCAAAAAATCGCATAAGAACCCTGGACCAGTCTCTAAGAAAACAAAACGGCCCCCATCACCCGCCTTTTCGCTAGACAAAATCGACGATATGCTGGAACCAGCCAAAAATTACATTGAAGACCAAGGGAACAACCACGTGCTAAGTTATATATGTCGGAAAAGCCGTCTCTCTGACCATTCCCTCTGGGCGACTCATATTAGGTCCTCTCGGGCGACCAAGCCTTTGTCTTGAAGATCTACGCATTTCTATTACTCTTAAAACTTTCAACGAAACTAATTAAACAAACTGAAACTATAACTCAAACACTTTTTAACAACACAAAAGAATGCACAACGATTACGAATGAGTCCTTTACAGGGAATCTCTTTTTCTATTTCTTTACCGCACGTCTTTACAGTCTGGCAACCGTTTCAGTTCTGTTCTTTTCTTATCGAATGCTTCTCTTTTCAAACGTTTCGGTAACCAGACAACCAACTCGACTACCTTCAAAGGCCACATCCAAACGTCAACGCCAACCTGACGCTCGTTTGCGTTACCGATGGCATTCTTTGCATCGATTGAATTCAAGTATCGACTAGAGCCAATATAACTTTATTTACACAACGTGAAGTAACATTCAATTAGAGCAGAAGCTTTTTATTGGATTCCGACATATACAATTTAAAAGCTTCCTAGAAAACTCAATCACAGCCCCAAACCCTTTAGAAATTTCAAGAACATACCCAACTAACACTCTCGCCTTAGCTGGAATGATTCTAAAAATCCACCCCTTGCTTAATGAACGTAGTATGAAAAACAGACTACACAGACTGCATAAAAAAATAATCCAGAACTCCTCAACAAAAACAGCCGTCAATTGGGCATCAGAAGTAGAGAGTTACTCCTCTTAAGCACAATGAAACATATTATTCAATGGAATATAAATAGCTTTTACACGCAATACGAACAACTACAGCTCCTTCTTAACCAACACAACCCATCCATCATTTGCCTGCAAGAGACAAATCTCAAGAAACACCACCTCTCAAGACTCAAAGGGTTCGTCATCTTCAACAAAAATAGAGACGGCGATAATCACGCGAGTGGGGGAGTACTCATCGCAGTATCTGAAAAATTCAATGCCGTTGAAACTACTCCCAAGCTAGATACACATATGCAACATCTACCTCCCGAATAGCCATACTCTAACCCCAACGGACTTAGAAACGCTTACAAACCAACTTCCAACATCTTTCATACTAATGGGCGACTTTAATAGTCACCATTATATTTGGGGATCGCACAAGATAGACGGTCGCGGGAAAATTATTGAGAGTCTACTAGAAGACCCCGACATCACTCTGCTAAACTCAGGCAGTCCAACACATTTTACAGTAAGTACGGGGAAAACGAGTGCGATCGATTTAACACTCTGTAGTAGTAAATTGACGCAATCCCTAGAATGGGAATCCTTATTAGACCTCCATAACAGCGATCATTTTCCCATAAAAGTTACATACCTAGATTCTACCCCACAACTGCAAAACAAACCCACTGTCAAATGGAGCATTAAAAAAATAGACTGGGGTATATACAAAACCATAATCATAAATATCCTCCAAAAAGCCCCAAAAAGCGCAATCGATCCAATCAACATCAACCAAGAAATCGAATTACTGGAAAAAACTATTAAAAAGGCAGCGCAGGAATCCTCTGGTCCAGTTAAACCAAAAAGCACAAAAAAAAGAAATACTCCTTGGTGGAACGAAAATTGTCACGCAGCCATGAAAGAAAGCCATAGGGCCTTTAACAAAGCAAAGAGACAACCAACAACCGAAAACTTAGTCAACTTCAAAAAACTTCGAGCAAAATTTCGCAAAGTAATAAAAGAAAGCAAAAGAAATTCTTGGCAATCATATATATCAACCATTACAAACAAAACACCAATAAATACCCTGTGGAAAAAAATCAGAAATATTAATGGAGTAGAATCTTACACTGAAATCCAATTTTCGATCTAGGGGATAACAAATCTATAACTAATCCTCAGGATATAGCCGACACCCTTGCAGAGACGTTCCAAAAAAATTCAGAAAATAAAAGCCACGAAGAAATAGTTCACATACCCTCGCCGCCCCTTACAAACCCAAAAAACGACAACAACCATCTAATAGACCCCGTTTCCGAATTCACCTTAAATTCAATCATAACCCTAGAAGAGCTAATGAACACTCTCCGGGGCTCAAACAATTCTGCACCTGGGCCCGACAATATACCTAATAAACTGATAAGGGAACTACCACAAATCGGCATCAACCATCTCCTCAATATATTCAATTGCATTTGGACGCACCATGCATTCCCGGACAACTGGAGAATGGCTACAGTTATACCCATACCTAAACCAGGTAAGAACAAAAACAAACCCGAAAGCTATAGGCCGATCGCCTTAACAAACTGCATGTGTAAACTTCTAGAAAGAATAATTAACAAAAGGCTTAGATGGTTCCTCGAATCAAACAATATGCTATCACCTAACCAATACGGATTCAGACAGCACCGCTCGACCACTGACGTACTGATAAACTTAGAGACAAGCATATGCGAAGCATTTCTGAAAAACGAATTCCTTATCACAGTATGTTTGGATATTGAAAGAGCATACGACTCAATACCAAAGACTACAATTATCAAGGCCCTAACTAAAGCTAGGCTAGACGGCAACATATTAGCTTTTATCAAAAACTTCCTGACAAACAGAACCATCCAAGTGAGAACGAACGGAACCTTTTCCAAACCAACCACCATACACAATGGAGTTCCACAAGGTTCGGTCATCAGCGTTACGCTTTTCCTGATAGTAATTAACGATTTAACAATGACCTGCAGCGGGGAAAACCAATCCACTATCATTGAGCTCATACAGGATAGCATCAACGACCTTCTGTCATGGTCCGAAAAATCAGGACTTAAATTCTCTCCCCAAAAAACAAAATACATCATCTTTTCGAGGAAACGCAAAACAATCGTACTTCCCCCTAATCTCTACATACGAAATACTGTAATCGAAAAAGTAGACAGCATTAGAATACTTGGACTCATCTTTGACCATAAGTTATCGTGGGAGCCACATATGAAATATCTAAAAACTACATGCACAGAAAAAATGAACATCATTAAAGCTTTGACAAATTATAGCTGGGGAGCTGAGCAAGAAATCATCATACAAACCTACCAGGCTTTAATCAGATCCAAACTCGACTACGGGTCAATAGTTTATAACTCGGCTAAACCCAATACCCTGAAAACAATCGACTCAATACATAACGCCGCTCTAAGAACAGCCACTGGAAGCTACAGGACTAGTCCAATAAACAGCATATTGTTTGAATCAAAAGAACCCTCATTAGAACAAAGAAGGAAATACCTGAGCATAAAATACGCAGCCAAAATGTCCTCCACTCCAAATAATCCCACATACAACAACATATTTACAAACAGATATACCCACCTGCAAGCTAAAAAACCCAAGCTTCCAAACCCATTCTATGGAAGAATTGCCAAATGCGATAGTTTCACTGTGATTACATCAACACCAACTATTCCGTGTAAATTCAGGAAGTTAGCTCCCTGGATTCTAAAAACACCAGAAATCAACGTCGACCTCGCAAGGTTTCCTAAAGACCAAATAAGCAGCACAGAACATAGATTTTACTTCCAACAACTGTATGACAAATACCCAAACCATCAAACGATATACACTGATGCATCAAAGACTGACCAGGGAGTAGGAGCTGCCATCGTCTGCGACACCACGACAAAGAAATTCCACCTCCCAATAACCTCATCCATTTTTACAGCAGAAGCCTGGGCAGTTCTTGAAGTTCTTAACCACATACGTAACCACAATGTCCAACCCTCCATCATTTTCACCGATTCAATGAGTGTATTCATGGCAATAGCAAATGTAAATCGCGGAACCGAACATGGAGTCATTTAAACATCCATTATACCTATACGGATCTCATCAATAACGGTAAACAAATAACCCTAGCCTGGGTTCCATCTCACCAAGGCATCAAAGGAAATGAGGCAGCCGACATAGCCGCTAAAGAAGCAACAGCACTTCCACCAGATAACATCGTCAGACAAGTCCCACACCAAGACCTCATCGTTGCATTACGCCATATCGAACAACAAACATGGAATAAAAAATGGACCACATCCAAGAAAATAAAAACACATGACGTTACCAAAGATTTCTTCCAAATAATGCCTAGCAGCAATATGAGAAGGAAAGACAGGATAATCATGGCCAGGCTTAGAACTGGTCACTGCAAACTCACTCATGAACACTTAATTAAGAAAACAGAACCACCAATGTGCACTGTCTGCAAGGAAACCATTATAACCAACCACCTATTATTCGAATGCAGGAGATTCAACACCCAAAGGCAGAAATATAAAATAACATCGACAGAAGTTCTGACGACAAAGAAGCACATAGAAAATACCCTGAACTACCTAAAGTACATCAACATCTACCATTGCATATGACCGGACAGAAAGAAGGAAACAGATTCTAATCGTCGCTAATGACCCATAGGTCAATGCGATGTAAAACTCGAATTAAAATATTATGTAAAATATAAAAATGATATATTCCTTCAAAATAAAACTTTCTTTTGGAATCCCAAAAAAATAAATGGAAAGATAAACCAGAGATCGTTTCAAAATTGACAAGGTTCCTTAAAAATGGTGCTTTAATCAACCACGTGCAATTATATTTTATATATAATCGAAAAAAAATATTTTCTCGCTCTCAACAGTGCAAGCAAGTATTATGTAAAAGGAAAAGTCTGAAGTTGTTATCATTTTCTCGGATAGTTTGGAGAAGTTTGACTACTCAGTTTCGAAGTGTATATCGTAAACAGAATTTTTACCTGGAGAAGATGAAGATCCATTCCGGAGTGGGGGGCGGCAACAGGAAATAACGCGACTCCGTGATCGATGGCGATTGGCTGTACCGGTTTGTAGGAATCGAGATCAAGATGATAGTCGTTCTCGTCGCATTCTTCGGCCATGTAGGTTTGCTCGATTGCGGTCGTATGAATGCTCAGCGTGCGATGAAGCGAACCAGTTGTGGCGTCTCTGCCTCGAGCATGTCGATGCTAAACGGAAATACAATAATTTCATGAATATTGAGAGATATTCTGACAATACGGTGCTTGAATTTAATAGTGCCTTGCACAATCAGCGAAAGAAAACTTTTACAGTCGAAATAAACTGGGATTTGCATGCCACGAGTGTGTCTCGCGCGCAAAAGCAACGAAACACTTTTATCTTTTTTAATTCTGTCGCAACTTGTATATTTCTATTTTAAAAAAGTATCTGTTTTTACAGTTAGAACGTTTTTCCACGAAAACTATCCTCGAGGAAAACTGATATTTTGGAACGTGTTCGATAAACGTTTTATCCGACGAAGTTTCGTAAATAAATGAAACTATCGTTCATATTTATAATAAGTACCATTGTAATTTAAGTTGGATAAGAAATTTTAGTAAATCTAAATTCACTATTTAAATTGCAACATGATTGCAGATGTATTAGAAGCGATGTAAAAACAATTTTAGTAGAACGAGAATCGAGAACCCAAGTCGTACGATTTCGAAGCTTCGATCGTGGCTGTTAAGCCATAACTTTGCATTGAATAATATCGTTGTTATAGATACCATATTTGTCAGACCACCGAGCACCATCTTTATTGCACAATATCTCGTAAACGGTCGAACGTGAATCAAATAGTCTTTGTTTTTTAATAAACGCGGAGAGTTTCGTTAAAATCGGTGAGCGACACGTTATGCGATTCCCTTGTGAAATATTAGAGTTTACCAACGTGCTAGTGAAATTTAAGCATCATGAAATTTATTCTGTCGCATAAAGGGACGTATATTAGGTCAAAGTTCCATGGATTTTTTAAGTAAAATAAAATAATAAATTCGTGTACTATTACATTTAATTTATTATATTATGCAATTTCCATTAATATTAACGAGTTCATCTTCTCTTAATAGCAAAGAAAAGCACTTCCCTGCTTACTCGAAATAATTGAATAATATTTAAATACGTAGAAAAATACTATAAAGAGTGGTCATACAATTGAAACGGTTTATATCTCGAGTTTTATAAAAACTAAAAAAATATTGCGGAGGGAAAAAGGTAATGTATATTTTTTTACCACTTTTTACACGAGAGCGACGAGAATTCAAAGTTCTAAAACGTGAGAACTACCATTCGTCGAGTTTATCGATTTACTGTTGCGTCGCTGGAATAAGTAAATATAAAAAAGAAATTTCCACGTGAAATAAAAATTTTTTACGAGTCTTCAAAAGCACACGTTCGTTTTACAACCGTTGTCATATTTTTCTTTCTTTATTTAAGTTGTTCCAAACGACGTAGGAAGCACTTTGGATTCATTTTCAGCGAACGAGGAAAACATTCAATTTGTAAAAGTAGAGTCTAATGAATCTAATTTGAATAAATTCCGGTCTTCAGACATCTCTCGACTGTACGAACTAGATTACCAATCACATTTTGACACGTGTTTGCAAACCTGTTCGAAGATAACGATGGGAAGCAATTTAGCCACATTTACGAAATATACACGATACAATGGCGCTCAGACGCTTGGAATTACGCTAATTTCACTCGAATTTCGTCCAACTATAAATATTTTGGTAATTCGCGAACGAGCTTCCAAGGAAAATAAACGAGAGTATCGTTTCGAATAGTTTGTTTCTTACTTTCGTCGAAAATAAAAATCGGAAACAGGAATTGGAGGCAGCGTGGATCCGCAATAGCAGCGAAAAATACATTGGCTGCTTGTATCCTCAAAGCTACCATTTTCCCACTTGAGTGTGTTTCGAGTATAGTTCAACAAGTTTAATAAGATCCCTGAGGGCGTGGCCTGAGCGTGGAGAGGTAAATGGTGGGGGGATGAGATCGAGCAACGAGACTGAGTCCAACGGTGGAATCGATTAAACGATAGATTAAACTATTCCTCTGCCTTTGCTTTCGTCCATTTTCATCGCCAGATAGTTTCTTTCAACGAAAGAAAATGATTTATCAAGACACTAACCTCTTAATATTATAAATATATCATTATGAGAATGTTTTAACAAAACCACAGATTTTCCCTTCTCAAAAGCGATAGTAATAACTGCGGATGTTTATGCATTTATGGGAAATTTTAATTCCCAAAAAGCTACAGAATGCACTTAATATGCAAAATTGTTATATTTAGGGGTCAAGACAACCCTCTAGAAAGCTCCCATTTAATTAATTTTATTAATAAAAATACGAATTTGCATAAAGATCCGCAGTCTAATGATAACGGTTTGGACATGTTTTCAGGAGACAAATTTCTTCAGGCAAGTAAAATTAAGAATGACAAGTACGAACGACGAGCTGCAAGTTTCCAACCCCCGGGGATCTCGTTTAACTCGTTCAACTATACTTCGCTATATTCCTTTCGGTGAATTTCTTGGGTAAATATCGAAATTACGAAGTTTAAGTCCATTTTTAACGACGTTCCCACCTGGTTTGTTGGACCAGGAAAGATACGACTCGATTTCTCTTAGCGGAGGAATTCCCATGCATACATCACAGCACTCTCTTGGGTACAAAGTGTCTTGTAAGACTTAACGTTGTCCTCTCGTAATGAGGTTGGTCGCGAGAACTTACGTTACCTTATGAAATTCGGCGACTTTCTCGAGGATGGTGTTCGTGTCGTGGAGAGGCGTGTGCTCCTGCTTCTTCAGGGAACTATTCCGTGAATTACATTCCGATGGCGATTCCGTGATACTGTCCAAAGTTATCTTCCCGGTATGCCCCGAGGACGGCACGTTTTCAGATTCGACGTCCTTGCGCGGCGATTCTCGGATGTCCTTGCAACCGTGTTGAGACTACAACAAACACGAACATTTTAATATTTAGAAACAAAATCCCTGATACGTAATCCCACATTGCAATCGTTACGTTAACTTTCTTTGTACAATATATTTTCTAAAGGAAATGTTTCTCTATTAAACCGCAAAATCTTGAGTCGACTCAACACTGGAACTACAGACAATGGTGTATTTAATTGTACCAATAAAATTAAAACGATAAATACTTGAAACAATGGAAAAGTGATACGTAATCCCACTTCACAATTGTTACATTATCTTTCTCTATACAACATATTTTCTAAACGAAATGTTTCTTTGTCAAATACAAAATTATGAGTCAACTCAACACTAGAACTACAGACAATTATAGTATACTTATTTATACCAAAAAAATGAAAACGATAAATACTTGAAGAAATGTATAATGCAATGGAAAAATCCGGTCGAGTAAATTTTTTATAATTTTTATTAGAAATTATTAATCATTTTGACCACTTCCGATAGTTTTAGTGTTAAAGTTGTTCTTATTTACGTTTAGATATCTCTATTATTTATATTAGCTTCATTGTTAAAAGCGTTTTATAATTAGGAAATCAAAAAATAATGTTTGAACATCTTTTTGTTACGAGATTGAATTTCGATTCGTTCGAAAAGATTAACGGTTTCCTTTCAGTATGATGATCGATTCAACTGTAAGCTTCAATTCATAATATAATTTTCTTTGATATAAGTGGCTTTTTTCTAGGTCTCCTAGCATTCAGACCCACTTGAACGAGCTCGTTCCTTACGATTGGACCGAGTACACACAAAGGTTCCTCGAATTCAGCTTTTAACTCCACCGAAGTCTTATCCCTTCACGTTGTTTTGACAATCTTGACACGGATGATTGGTTCGATTCATCTCACGCTGTAACTGTTCACGCAGAAAGACCTTTCTCGTAGCTAATGCAACCATAATGCTCAATTTACACACCGCCAAATCAATACCATCGCTCATTTTGCAGTACCCTACTCTCTGGAGTTCAACAACCAATTTACACGATACTGAATTTATGTGTAAATTTGATTGAATCGATACAATGGCGCAGCTTTGTTGTGTCATGCAACAATAATATCGTGCACGAAGTGTCCACTGGTGGGAAAGAGGAATGTCGATTAAAACGAACTTTCGAGTTTAACGTTTCTTTTTATAATGTGTTTTTATAGTGTTTTCTTTTCTTAAGCTTTACAGTTATAAGAAATCGAGGCATAGAAGTGGGAAATATCGAAGAAAAACAGTGCAAGAAAGGATGGAAGATTTACTGTCACCTTAAACTATTTTATTCAAAACAAATCATAAACCTTACAAAATTATAAATAAAAAATCTCTAACACAGAATTATAACTGGAACTTAATTTTTTGTAAAGTGATAATAAATTTTTAATTGATTAGAAGAGTGAAAGAAAAATATTGGAGAACGTAAGTTATGAATGCAACAAAACATTTATTGTGATACATGTATGAGAAAATAGAAATTGAAACTTTATATTGAAAAAAAAATGTTCGTTTTCTGAGAAATATTAAAAACTTTATATACCATTTTTTATTCATGGACGTAATCACCAATTGGTAAACATTTTCCCAACACTGATATTAACTTGCTACTGTTTATCTATTTCCAAATATTTTTTGTAAATAGACACAAATAATAAAGGGAAATTTTTTGAAAACTGATATTAACCGAAGTATAATTGATAACATATTTAATATTCGAGCGACGCTAGAAATATTTCCAGTAGTGTAGATTGGGAACTAGATTGAGAATAGTAAGAGTGAATGACAAATAGTGGATGAGAATCGGATTCAGTTAATACGTCGAGTGTATTTCATGCATATACGATGACCATGGATAGTGATAACATATTTTCTGTGGAAAGTAATGCAATTGAATAGTTTTTAGCCTTTTATATATTTTGTATAAAACAGGCAATACAAAAATGTTCGGCGTGTCTTTTTTTATGGATATAAATTATTTCACTATTCCACTTTTAAACGAATTTCGAAACACACTAGGCGTACAATATTAATTCCCAATCTTATTATTTATTAATTTGCTGATCTTTATACAAATTCATATTTTTATTAATAAAATTAATGAAATGGGAACTTTGTAGAGAGTTGTCTCCATCCCTAAATATAATAATTCGTATCTTAAAGTATTTCTTATATTTTTGCATATAAAGTGCATTCTGTAGCTTTTTAAGAATTAAAATTTCCCATAAATGCATAAATATGTCTCGTTCGGGAATTCAAAAACGAACCTCAGATGCAAAAAGGAGTTTCTGGAGATTCAGCACAACCAGAGTCTAATTTCCTAAGAATTAAAACTCCAAAACTTCCCCTCCGTATCACGGTTGCTCCAATTTTAGTTCTCAAATTTTCAGACTCTTGGAACCAATTAGTAACAATCAATCCACCAGATGTATTTTGACTAATATTCAAAGCACACGACGTGCAAAATTGCGCTGTCGCGTTAGAGACAAATGAAATCGATAAAGGTCAAGTGGAATCCCTCGATAGCAATCTAATCGTTCCACCGAAAATTGTTGCTAGTACCGTGATTGAAAGACAACGTCTGGGATTTTCGTTCGGTTCGGTATTCAAAATTAACTGTCATGCAGTAGTGCAGATACCTTTCGCAAAACACAATTTGTTGGGGATAAACAAGAGACGGGAGAGCTTGAATTCTCTGCGCGTGGCATGAGTAATGAAGTTGTTCTTCCTCCCCCCTGCAGGGCGGACTTCTCGACAGCCGGGTTTATGATACGTATGCCACACGGCGTATGAATCAATCGATTAGCTAGACAAGGTGTCAAGGCCCTAGAAATTGCTTTATCGTCGCGGAACTTTCGCGTTTCTGCTCGTCGCGTACACTTCCACAGCTTACCCTTTGATCTTCGGTAGCCCCAGTAACGTATCACGAACACGAGATGCAACGGTGATTTTTAACAGACTCGTGGTCACGATTTTCCTTTAACCTTTTGCAACAACGATCCCGTAAATCGCATGGGACACGGCGGGAGTTCGCCATATGGAAAGCAATTCGAGCTGATTTCACGGCTGCGATATTGCCTTTTGATTATTCTGTGCTTAAAAGGGCCAGTTCGGAACGAAAATCGAGGCTTTGTTAGCTTCAAACATTTTGATGGTACGTATGGCTCGAAGAATTAGAGGAAGTCGTTTATAAAAAGATTCCATCGGAGTCTGAATCGGTTTAAAATGCTGTGAGATCGTGAGAAAATGTTGGGGATCGCGTGTTGAAAAATATGATAGAAATTCAACGATGACGAAAGAAAATTGAATAAAGAATTTTGTAGAAAATGTCAAGTGTATAATTACAATAGATATCTATTGAATTATACAGGGTGTTTTCCCAGGTCACCCGTGGGAAAAGTTTTAATGGGAGATTCTAGAGGCAAAAAAGTAATTTTTTAATTGAGGCTGTGTTTAAAAGTTATTAAAGTTATTGAAGCCTCGATTAACAAATTTAAAATTTTTAAATATACGTACGTTTTATTTGTTTGATATAGTGAACATCCAGTGAACGAATATTGTAATAATTCAGGAGAATATAAATCACTAAAGTTAAAAATATTGCAGTGACAAAATATGAAACTGTTCGTATATAAACGAATGAAAAATTCTCTGTTAAATAACATTAGTGCTACGCAACTTACGTGCTATAAAGGCCTAATAAATAAAGATTGTAATACGAACGAAAAGAGTATATAATACTAGCGAAGTTTCTAATCCATTTACATTTTGTGGTAATACGCGTTTTTCGTGTCTTTAGCGGAACGAATGTGACTTCTTATTACACTTCCGTGTAATAAATACTCAGATTTACCTTTGAGAGTTCCCTCCGGGGCTTCTTAATCCGCTCCACATTCTACGCACATAAAATTCTCGGTAGTAATTTAAACACGTGAGCTGAAAGGCTTTTCAGTGGAGGAAAGACGTATGCAGAAAGGACCAATGCATATTTCGGCTCTTTCATTCGACGGGCATAATTTCGATGCGCAACATCCTTTGATGCGACGGCAAAATACCGACAAATGATGCAGCTAGGAACCTCGTCCAAACGGAAGTTTCTATTCGCGACGAGGTTACGCGGCTTAATATTTACCACGTGCTTGTTGCACTTTGAATTCCATCAATTCAAAAACTTAATTAAACTCATCACTAGACTGCGAATCTTTATGCTAATTCGTATTTTTATTAACAGAATTAATAAAATGGGAACTTTGTTGAGGGTTGGGTTAGGTCTCAACCCCTAAATATAATAATTCGTATTTTACTTTAAGTACTTTTTATATTTTTACATATTAAGTGCATTCTGTAGTTTTTTGAGAATTAAAAGTCTACTCCTCACAGATATTTTTAAGACTAGAACAACCAACTTAAATATATTTTCAAGAATTCAGTCGAGTAAATTTTCTACAATTTTTATTAGAAATTACGAATAGGTCATTTTAACCATTTCGGTAGTTCTAGTGTTAATCGAATGATACTTTCGTAAATATATTAAAACATATAGTGGGCTTGAGTACACAACGAATCGAAATTTAATTTTTTTTTTTAAACACGAAAAAATTGAGTAGTTTAGAATACGAAAGTATGTTGCTGGAAGTGATTAAAAATTTTGCGATACAATCGAGGTCCCAGAAGTCGAAAGACGTAATTTGTTCATACAATGCATACGTTTTTCGGAATCTGGGTCATGATTATTCTGCCGACTGACTTTGGCTATAAGCGAATTCCATTGTTCGAGTGATTTTCGTTCGTCTCGTTCCTGTTTGCTTTGTATAACTTTCTATTATAAATTTATATGTTTCGCGTGTATCGTGATTGTGCCCCGGCATTGTGGGGAATCTTCTCCTATTGGACAGAGCGCCAAATTCGGAAGTTATGCCGTTAACCGAAATCAAGATTATTACCGCGTGCCAGTCAGTCCACGTGTGAACTATAGTTTAGAA